GAAACCCCCACCCCGGCTTGGGCCCCGGGGATCCCCGCGTGACAACACTGGTGATAATGAATGCAAATCAGAATTCCATGGCCTTACTTGAAGCTAGTCAGACTGGCACTTAAAGGAACGAGGAGACAGCAGAGGAGAGAGGGCAATCGCACCAGGGAAGAACAGCATTGTATAGTCCTGGGCTGGGCTACCAACTGGGCTTCCCGGGGACCCAGCTGCGCAAGGGCAAGGTAAGGTGCCTTTAAAACAAACAAGCGAACAAAAGACTCTGGGAAAGAAAACTATGTCAGCCGGGCAAGTGGTCCTGGGGTCCTGAGAGAAATACTTGATGAGGAAACAAAATGTCGCAATAACACCCTGCCAGACATTGGCAATGAAAACTCGCAAGACACCTGCGTTGTTGTTGTTGTTTTTATTTTATTTTATTTTATTTGGACCATTTCTCGATTTATGTGTGTCATCCTTGCACAGGGGCCATGCTAATCTTCTCTGTATCGTTCCAATTTTAACGGATGTCCCGAAGGACACAAGACAACTGTTTACTCCTTGAATAATATTAATATGTATGTGTCTCCAGCATCATGCTATCGTCTTAGCCCGAATAAAACGCCCGATAATTATCGCTGTATCTGGACTGGAAATACAGCTATAATGACCGGGCGTTCTATTCGGGTGAAGACGGTAGCATACCCCAGGATGGCAGCATTGCCGTGGTCCCATGGCGCCGTTGACAGCGTCAGTGCCACGCTGCTTTCGCCAGTCGTCAAGGCATCTGATTCAAGAAGCATGCAATCATCACCCATGATCCTACCACCACCTGTGTACAATCTGAATGATTCACAAAGATCTGACACACCAACACTAAGTGGAGAAGTGGTAGAGAACAGCCACATACTTACCGGATGGACTGTGAGCATTATGTCGCTTTCACTGCCGGTGAACTATTCATTGTGCTGGAAAGAATGATCAGTGGTGAAACACACGAAACTTGCCGTCGGGGCATGTGGGGTTTTGTGGATGCCTTGTTGTTTCTAAGGCCAGCTACCTCGCATTCAATTCTACTGCCTGAATCTTGACAATCAGATCCCCTTATTCTCAAGCGTGCACTTGGAGATCCAGCATATCAAGCATTTGCTTCAACACAAAGTTGGCCATTGTTAAGGGAGAAATGATACATACTCTGGTACTTGGAAAGTAAAAAAGGGGTCCTCCAAATTACCCCATTGAGGAGGGACCACGACTGTAGATGCATTGAAAAGGCATAATAGCGACGCAAAGCAAGTGCGAGCAAGGGAATCGCCCACAAAGGTCATAGTCTTGTTCCGAAGCAGGTGCAGAAATCCCAATGCGTCAAACTTTGGTAGGTGACATTTGGCAGGCTCCCATCTCCATTCAATAAAGGCAAAGTTCTTTCTCCCAACACTGCAAGAGATCCACCAGGAAATCATAAACGTGCTTCAAATCACAGTGTGCCATCCAGGCAATTGCGAGCATTGAACGCACCTCATTATTCTACATACATACATACGTTCAATCCTGCAAACTGTGAGAGAGCTCTTCAACTCCTTCCCCCTATTGAAGAGGGGCAATATCTTTGAGATGTTCACTGGAGCACCCTAAACTCCTGAGTTGGGGGGGGGGGGGGGCATCAACAACAACAACAACAACAACAAAGGAAGGGTTCAAACTCCCTGCTCAAGTGAATTATGCCATTCACAAACACGAAGGATGGTAGAAATAGTGTGACGATAGCCGTGAATTGGCATAGTCTTCAAGCTCAGGCACAAAATCACGTTATGGAGGCACAAACCATACAGCTCACAGCATGGTACACAACATCCATGTCTGACCCCCAAGGCAGACGCTAGCCTCACAAGTAAGGGATGCCAGAGTACATGTCATCAAACTTACTGTCTTGGGCTTTCATGACCCTAAGAAAGTTTTGGAAATTTCTAAGCGTAAATTGCAGATAAAAAAAATCTGCATTTCTACATCGGCAATCTTATCACAAAAAAATAATTCCTAGTAATGAGGCAAGGATCCCGCTCATTTGACACCCCACTGACATTCACACATGCTCGCCAAGACAACACACCAAGCTTGCGCACCACAACAACGAGATGGAAATCAGATTTTGAAAACTGTAAATTCTTATTACAACTTCCAAAATTGTCGCAAAAAATCTCAATATGCAAACGCACAGCAGTGACAGCAGCTATAAGGGCAGACACGTTGGTACCAATCAAAGGGAAATTATGGCTATTCACACTCACGCATACTTAGAGGAAACAAATAAGAACCAATCGAGCCATAAGTGATTTCGTCATCTTAGAATTACATTGTGAATGCAATGCAACACTTAGCCTCGTCAAGCGACCAATGAGTTACCAGGTGCGAGACCAACCCAACAACTTTAGATAAATCGTCAAAAGCAACTCCCTCAATTTTGCAGGACATTAAGTTGATTATGCGTATACAGAGTGAAACACAAATTATTGTCACCAACGAAACTAATCATTTGTCGGCGTGAATGATCCCCCTTTTTATCAGATCTCTTTGTAATACGTTTCAACGGTCAATTCCCCGCACACCGTAAAATCCTTTATGGCTTATCTTGCTCAACTCCCAAAATATATATAACGAATATCCCATCTCGTTAGCACCAATCGGACAAGCCAATCAACCTCACCTTCTTTACAAGTGTTTCGTCCGGGCTGATCTTAACTAGGCAAGCCCAGAAAAGCTCACGTCACACGCCTAGCTCTTCGCAAGGCACCCTCCCAGATGGCTATCACCAAAGAGAGCCTTAACTTTATTGCTGGTAAAAATCCTGCACAGTGCTCGATAGGGGCCAATAGCAAACGTTTGATCATCTTCTACCGCAAAGATAACAGTCTATACATTCCTAGTCTCGACGGTTTACTCAATATGACATGTGACCTCCCTTCGCATAAGTCATCTTCGCCCCCGTCTCTCGTTGTCGATTAAAGCGTCCAGAATACTCATACTAATGCAAATACGAGTAGTCTTTTATTCCATTAAGTGAGAGCAAGCGCTGACCTTTGGTCAACAATTGGTGGTTTCTTTGCGATGATCCAACCTTCATTCAGCCCTCATCTCTGCCTAAACATCCATCTATCTCCTATTAACCATAGCCACCACTTATTACATCACTCCCTCTTTCCTTAGCCTGAACACTAGCCCCAATTATCTATTAGGGTCGTCCTAGCCTTGTATCGAGTCAGCGTTTCCGAAGCAAAAGAGAGGTCAAGGCAACTGGGGAAAAGGAACGCGGCATTGATCACCAGTTCACACGACCCTCAGTTCAAGACGAGGCTTACCAGCGTTCCGACTCAGCTGAGTGCACCCCTGAAAGTCAAGAAACGCCCTAGTCATTCCCGCCTCCGCAGAGAAAGCCTAACTAAACATTACAGCTGAGCATTGCAGATATCTGAGGCTGAGCGCAGAGCCTAGTCGACAAGTAGAGATCCCATTCGCTTATACAGCCAAACTGACGCCTCACTATCGCACCCTTCTTCATACACCCCACCGACTAGATAAGCCAGAGTAAAGTCGCCAGCAATCCCCCGTGCAGGGACCCTCCGACTTCGGCATATGTCGAACAGGGGTACATAGCCTTGCTCGACCTCACTCTCTCTCTTTTGACTGTTGCGAGCGTCTCTCTCGATGTCAGCATCGCTTCCCCGTCTCGCCCTTACTTGTCCATTAGCCCTCCACACGCACAAGCAACATTCAACTTTGTCACATCGTCACACATGAGTCTCACGCGGTGAGTATGCTAAAACCTCTCGCCCTTGACTGCTCGTTAGAGAGGATCGCGACAACGATCCCTCACTCTGGTTCTCTCGCATGTCCACCCTCTCTTGTCGCGTACTGAAGTCAAGTTGACGTCAGCATTCCAAGCACGCATGCGGCACTTGCCTCACCCAAAGGTCTGGTGCCTCTCTCGTACTCACAATCTCTGAGAAAACAGAGTCCTCGCTACTCCAAACCAGGTAATGTTGACGTCAGCTCTTTGGACACACTCCCTGTGCGCGCTCTCCACACATCCTAGCCCCTATCTCGTACCCACTGTCTGTCACGCCCCTGCTGCTCCCGCGTAGCAAGCGTACCCTCTCACAGTCACACTCGACCTCTAGAGGGCGTAGCCGCGCTTCATCAGCACAGAACTTGTACAAGTGGTGAGGCTGACTGTTCCAGGGCGGTCGGAAAGACGCGCGCTCGATCTCACTGCAGCCCAGTCTCTACGTGCCCGTACCAACTTTGCCACCCCGTCTCTCTGCTCGCCCACTCATGTTGACTTCTGCGAGTGTCCCTCCTTTCGTCCTTGCCACTGTGATTATTCGCGCTCCTTTCCTCTGCCTCCCGTTCTCTCTGTCTCGCGTCCTCTAGGCCTCAACTGTCTCGAGCTCGCCTCGGGTCCGCCCTCCACACCTTGAGCCAACGGGTGGTTCTTGCGAACCTGGCCCGGCCTGTTCCAGGATTGAAGGTCGGTCTCCCGGTCTGCCTCGCTCATCTCGCTCTCCCCACCTGAGTTCCCTGTCCACTGTATCCATCGAGGTCTCGGTCTCATGATACGAGACCGTTACCTGCATTTTTGCAATCACTCCGTCCCTCCTGCCTCTGTGATCGCGTCCTGCAGCTTCGAGTTAGTCCGCATCTCCACTTCCTTAGCCCCTTCCACGCTGATTCTCAATCTCAGTTCATCTCCCCCATCGTAGTTAAGTATTACCGTAATCCAAGGCCCTTCCCCAGACATGGGTTTCCACCGAGCCTGGTGGTACCAGTAGCCTGGCCTATAGTCGTGCAGTGCCATAGCCAGGCCTCTCTCTGCAGACCTTGCACCAGCCCAATCTGCTGTCCTGGAGTAGCCAGTGCCAAGCAGTTCAGCGTGCAAAGCAACGCACACTGGCAATCCCTCGTTCACCCGCTAAGACCGCTTTGCCTTTTGTCTGCCATGAGCCAGTACTCAGCATGGCACGATCACCCAGGACTCGCTAGCTAACACCAGTCCCCTTTTCTTCTTATAAAATTTTCATCTGTCATGACCCCTGTGTTCTAAACAAGGGATCAAACTAATAAAGCGTACTAATAAACTAAAGAAAATACTTTATTGCGGGGGGGGAAATTAGAACCAGCAGACAACAGGGAAATTCAAGGAAACTACGACAACTGTCGTGGACCAGTCTTTGCGCGAAAAGACTACTATGCTTAGCGCGGCGGTCCCATAACGAAGTACAGATAGCGCGCCTTTCACTTCAAAAACAGACCGTCGACCTACCCCTATCGGGTGCCCGTGTCCGATGGTAAGGAGGGGACTTATGAACCTCCATTCGGGGTGATAAGTCTCCTGCCGATGCGGCAGCAGGTCGCCCCTCTTTTGGGGTCCTCCGCACAACGCCCAGCCAGGCAGACTTAGCACAAGCGACTTACGAGGGATCGTGCCACCCTAGGCCATCAGGCAGTAATCGTAGCTCATAAAACGAACCGTCGGCCTCCCCTACGACGTGGCAGAATCCAAAAAGGGAAAGCCGCGCCTAAAAATCGGTAAGTTAATAATAATAATTGTAATAAGAATAATAATAGTAAAGGAAAAAGGGAAACTCAAACGATACAACGGACAATCGTCATCTAGACTATTCCAGATTAAGGCATTGGCCTTGATCCTCGTGCTGATCAGGCATTCTGCCTTCTTTTCTTTTATTTTTATTTTCTTATTTTCCTTTTACCCCTTGGCTCAGTTTTTCCTTTCCGACAACAACCTGTTTTCGTGCACCTAACCCATAACTCTGTAGAGGGGCGCTTGGCGCGCAATAGAAAAGACAACGCCTATCACTCTACCTTCGCGTCCCAGGGCGAACCCGACAGCTACCACGGCCACAAGCCGGTTGTGCTCTGTTGTACATCAGGGCGTCGAGCCTGCGTGGACCAATGGAAAGCCCTGTGGCGCACCTTTTGCTGAAGCAGGCACCAACAGGACCAGTCCACGTCAAGGTACGACCCGGGTACTGAAGATCGCAATTCAGGAACATACCTATAGACCGCGGACACCAAGTACAGACTTGGTACGGAGAGGAGGGCCGGGACCTTGCGCCCTCCGACAGTGTGTCTTAAACGCAGTCTTGTGCTGGTCCGCAGGATTGACTTCAATCTTGCAGTATCCAGACTTAAGGTCGATCTTGGAGAAAACCTTGCACCCACCTGCAACATCAAGCAAGTCATCTATGCGTGGCAATGGGTATGCATTCTTTCTTGTGATGCGGTTTAAACAGCGATAATCAATACACATACGGAGTTTGCCTCCTTTCTTTGGGACAAATAAAACAGGCACCAAATTCAGATTCACTACCGTCTTAACCCGAAAACAACGTACGTACGTTGTATTCAACTTACCTCTGAAA